AGCAGTGTTTCGTGGTCTAAAACTCACAAAACACTGTAATGCTAAAAGAACGTCCACTTTTCACAGCCTCAAAGCTTACTTTTTTTGAGCATAGCAGTGTTTCGTGGTTTAAAACTCACAAAACACTGTAATGCTCAAAAAAAATCAACTTTTCCAAGCCTTGAAACGCACGAAACACTGCTATGCTCAACAAATTCCAAACTTTTAAGGAATCCGCCGCTGGCCTCGCCATAGATGCCAGAATTTTGGAATTTTCTGATTTTTTGAGCATTACAGCGTTTCGTGAGTTTCAGCGTTGGAAATTTTGGAATTTTTTGAGCATTGCAGTGTTTTCTGATGTCCAAAACAGGATATACTGATATACTGTATCACAAGATAATTGTGTGGTGTCCAGGACTGGAAGTCCAATTTTATGTCTTCTGGAACAGCAAGGTTTTCATTACTCTGGTTTGATAAGTATGAACAAGGCCAGCCTAGTCGTTACATAGTTTATTTCATGTATGTCTTCGGAGGTTGGTAGATCCATGGCGGCAGCGGCACTGGCTCCAGTACCTGAGCTTTCTCGAAAATGGCTTTGGCCGTTCTTCGGCGAACTGCACCGCCTACAAACCCAACACTGTAATAATCGCAAGCCTATCTAGAACTTATTTCAACCCATATTGACGACTGTAGGAAACAACTGTTTGCATTTTGCGATCATCAGAAACAATGGAGACTTCCTATTCGGCTTCCTACGATGCACGAGTTTTCATTCAGCAGCGGGAAAGAGATGGCCCGCGCACGCAGACGTCTTCGTAAGAGAGACAATAATATCTTTATAATTAGAGGAATGTTGATAAATAACACACCATAAAATCATAAAATGCGAAAACACGAAATTTTTAGTATTTGCATGAACAAAACTAGCACGCCCTCCAGCATTTTTTCGCTTCTCCAACACATAAACTACCATAAATCCGCGGCCGAGATTCGGCGCCAGATTTTTGCACATATCAAACCCGCGCCTTGCAGCAGCACGGTTTGCATGCACATGAGGTAAAGCACGGTTGTATCGGTATTTACGGTGTTCTCGGTATATATGAGTTGTCGACCAATGTAGAGAAACAACTTGTGGAATCGTGTGAAAGAGGCGGGTGTGGATCTTGGGGGGGGGGGGGGGGGTGAATATATATATATATATATATATGTGTGTGTGTGTGTGTGTGTGTGTATGTGTCTGAGGCTATCCCTGTGCGCGTGTATGTAAATGTGTATGTGTATGCGTATGTGTATGTATGCGTACGTACACACATACACACATACACACACACACACATATATATATATATATATATATATACATGGTACCCCCCCAAAAAAACCCACACTTTGCTGTCAGGTACTCTCGACTTGCCCAACTTCATCGGGGCATGGATGCAGCTGCAATAACGTTCAGGGTCTTTCAGGGCTTCTCAATTTGAGGGATTCGCGACGCGACGTGTAAGTATCTGACGCTCAAAGGGCCTCGCCGTGACGGGTACTTCAGCGGATATGCGGATTCGCAGATTCGCGGATTCGCGGATTCGCAGATTCACAGATTCGCAGATTCGCAGATTCGCGGATTCGCAGATTCGCAGATTCGCGGATTCGCAGATTCGCAGTTCGCAGATTCGCAGATTCGCAGATTCGCGGATTCGCAGATTCGCAGAATCCCAGATTCGCAGATTGCCAAATCGCAAAGGCTATACAATCTGCGAATCTGCGAATTTAAGACTCTGCGAATCTGCAAATCTGCGAATCTGAAAACGTGCGACTTTGTACCAACCTGTGAAACATCATGACATCCAGATTTCGTTTGATCAAGCACAGAGGCTGATACATGTGCGCATAAAGGAATCTGGTAGTGCCAAGGCAGGAAAAATTTGTTGTTCCGGTGTGTGTAAAGACCCTGTTTGCTTCTTTTCAACATAAATCCAAATAACGGCATCATTCAAAAAGTGAACCTATGTGAAAGCTTGTTGTGGCTTCTTCATGCCTGTGGTTAATCAGATTACATACTTGAAATACTAAGTAAACATCCCATTCTATAGTGTTCTGCTTATATCTTCATTTTCATTTGTCACGTGCCAGACTAGTTGTCTTTTGGCCATTCATCAGTCCAACTCATGTATAGGAATCCACTATCATTGCCAAAATGAAGCCTCTAATCTGCATGCGGGCGTATCTAAATGCATGTCGGTTAAATTTTCTGCTTATATCAAGATAAGGAGCTAGCCATTTCAAACGGTTTAAGCACACATTTAGTCTACTTGCTGCCAAGCCGAGTAATTGCTTTTCACCTTTTGCATTCTGAGAGCCCTATGCCAGAGGCAAGCCATTGAAAAAATATGGGTTGGTGAATGGATGCACTTGTCCCGTGATTGAAACATGACCAGACCGTGGTAATGTAGATAATTAGCTAATTCCAGGTGCTTACACAGTGTATGTCACAGTATTATGTATACACAAAAACGTTGATTTAACCAGTCACCTAATCAACTTACTGGCAATATTTGTTAGTGGTATATCCGTGCTTTCTTAATTTAGTTTATGATGGAAGTTATGACAGTAAACTGAGCGAGTTGTTTGGCCCCTGCTTGAACTAACCCATGTAGCACGCCAGCGATTTTGCGAGTACTATCACGGATACATTGAATACTACGAGCCAGGACGAGGGACTGGTGATATCAGTGGCCAGCAGAGAAATCTAATACGGATTACTAGTACTCATACCACCACTCAAGCTAAACGAAATGCTCTGGGCGTTGGCACGATGGTAATATCTGACGCCAATACTCGTAATAATGTGGGAGCAGGTAATGCTAGGAGCTAGAGGATTACGGGCAGCCTTGGTTTCGAGAATGTAGTGCTGCGGTGACTTGCAGGCCGCGGGCCACAGACATGTAGAATTTCAGGGTTCGTGGGCTGCAAAACAGGCCGAACCCAAATCCCGCTTAATGTTCTGGATGTCGGGCCCAATACTAATTTCAATTCTCAGGGGTGACTTCCTACAACGGGAAAGGATTAAGCCGATGTAGGGAAATTAGCTTGTCAATGGTTCTAGAAGACAGCAGGCTTCTCATCCAAATCATGTCAGATTGTGCCATGAGTCAGTTAATCAACAGCTAGATTCGTTCAAGGGGACCTGGAACCTGCACCGAGGGCTTCCGGACTAGGGCTTAGGGCTTAGGGTTCAGGGTTTAGGGTCTAGGGTCTTTAGGGCTTAGGGCTTACGATGGAAATTGAGATTTGTCTGTCTGTGTGCCAATTAGAAACACTCCTTTTCCTTTTCGATGTTTTCCCCGGAGTTTGTTTGGATATCTGTTCCTGTTTGGCTGGCTCATACAAAAAAAAATTGAGGAAATACGTTTTGCGGAACTTCCAACGAAGCAATCAGTTCTTATAATATGGCAGTGAGGAAGGGGAAAATTGAATATAGTGGCTCTTGGTCTGAAATATTGGCCAGCACGGAAAACAATGTTTAATTTTTGGGTGGCTCAAAATATGATATAGGTGAAGAATTGGAGAAGTTGGGAAGGTGGGATCCCACCTGCTATGAGCAGAATTATATCAAACAAATACATGTATGATGCGGTGTTAATACTTCGCTAGATTATCTTAGATATATTGTGTTATGCGTAATTCCTAATAGTAATTGTGCTAGTACTGTATCAAATTGTTTAAAAAAGAATATTTACATTTTTTGCTCCAGGGCAGACAACAAAACAATACTTCACTAGATTATCTTGCTTATATTGTGTTTTGCGTAATTCCCTAACATTATTTGCAGTAATGCTGCATCAAATTGTTCAAACATTTGTATAAGAATAGTTGTAAATCTAGTTATTAAGCAGATAACAGCAATGCTTCACTAGATTATCTTGTCTACACCGTACTTTGCACACGCGTGGATAGCACATGTAGGAATGCTGGAGTGAATTATCAGGACCTTTTACTACTTCTTGCGGGTCTTGGGGGGGGGGGGGTAGCATATATATATATATATATATATATATATACACACACACATGTAATATACAGATACATACGTACATGACGGCATATGATAGCACAGCCAATTCAGCAATTTCCCGACCCGAGCGCAGAAGACGCCTTCACTAGTGCGAACTCGTCGGGACTTTCGGCTTCGTAGTTCCTCGGACTAGGGAGCATCGTGGGGCAAGGCTGTGTGAGAGGTCAGAGGAACGGGGGTTACTCGGAACCGCTAGATATCTCCTCAAGAGGACCCAACCATCCCCGTTCTGCGCCTTCCAAACCAAAGGCCGGTGACCATGAGCTAGTCCAGAACATCAAGACCGAGCAGAATAGCACAGAAGCACCATGCTCAAAGACTGGGCATAAGGAGGACATATAGAGAAACCGATGACAATGCAAGGCGCGACGACGGCCCGAAAACAGACCACAACTCGACCACCTCTGAAGCACCCCTCGTCATGCCTGCGAACCTCGCCTGCGAAAATGCCACGCCCGGACTCTCGAACCCCGAAGCCAAAAAGCCGCTGTATCTACAGAGGCCAAGCTGCAGCCCACCGTCCTCCAAGGGAACAAGCGTCAGTACAGTGCAAGTGGTGCAGACCATCTAGGAACTCTTGGATTCAACGCTCCGCCGCCTAGCCCCGACTCGCCTCTTAACCTGCTCAGCATCATTTTTCTCCAAGCCCCTCATCATCCACGTACTTGGCCAGGAACACTCATCAAGGTCCTCCCCGCTGGTGACCATCACAGTGTGCGAGACCTGGGTCCAGCCGGGCCCAGAAAAATGCAACACACCAACAGCCGCTGCAGGGCACCGAGTTCGCTCAATCGCGCGGCGACTACCATGACCACCACCACCACCACCACCACCACCACCACCACCACCACCACCACCACCACCACCACCACCACCACCACCACCACCACCACCACTGACCACTGCATCCCCATGCAAGATTACTGCCATAACATGGTACAGCATGTATGGTTAGAAAACACACCTTTATGATATGAGCACGGTATAGGCCACCTAGGATGAATTCCAAACCGCTTATGGTGCAGAGACAGTGTACTTGAACTTGAAGCTCTGTGGTGACACACCATCCCCTCATGCTCAGGAGGCAGCTGCGAGCACTTCCAAGAATGCGTCGATCTCTCGCGCCTTCATAGACAGGCCTCTCGCCGCCTTTCACAAGCGCATGAACCCAAACAACTGATGACAGCAACAATCACCAGCAGGATGCAGCAATTGTTGCGCCGAAGGTACTTGCAGAAACAGTCTCCGACTTGCCTTCACTGTAGATACTTTAGTGGTTGTCCACATCGCTCTGCTTTCAACTGTGCGACATTTTGCGCGCAACATCCCGAAACTCTCCGAATACTTCTAGAATCGTCTGAAACAACAGAAATCATCAAAAAAGCAACTGTTAAATTCTAAGCACTCCAGGCATGTAAGCCCGCCGGAGTGTATTCTAGCAGTCGGTCAGCTAAAGCCTCAATACACCTTTTCCTGAGGTTCTGTAGGCCAGGGAAGCGGCAAGGGTAGAGCGAACATCGCCCTTCTCCCCCCGACTGCCTGAAGCTCGCGGCCGCCGTCGAAGCCGTCCTGAGACGCAGAACGGGTGCTCTGTGTGGAATTCCGTGGATTTCTGTTGCAGCAGGAACTGGCGGCGGTACAGCCGTCGCAAGCACGATTTGATACAGTCGGGCAGAAGCCTGCACCTGTAACCAGAAGCCAAATCATGGATGCCGAGCTGTGTGGGTCCATTTTGTTGCACGCTGTAACCGATGCTACTATTTACTAGCTACTTGTACCAGTTGCAGTCGTGACCTCCCGAGTCAACAGCAGATGCGGCTCTTTGGCCTTGATCGAGGTCGAAAGAAACAAGACTTCATAGGAATGGTATGTTTAAGAATCCGTATGAAACTTACGCCAGAACCAAGGCACCCATCCCGCATCATCCGACTTTCCGGCCTGAGGGGATCGAGATCACTTTCCCTGCATCCTATGCCGATTGAAAGCTCCACATCCGACGAACACACCGCCTCCAGTCTCAGCATCTTAATCCTGTTCGTCATTGTCCTTGCCGCCATCACAAACATCGCCAACCGCATCTCATCATCCTCCTCATTCTCCTCGTCGTCATCGTAGCCATCGTGATTACCATCGTCCCCATCGCAGCCACCGGCATCGTCCTGACTTGGAGCATCATCGTCATCGTCATCGTCATCGTCAGCAGCAGCAGCAGCAGCAGCAGCATCCTCTCCTTCCCACTACCAAACTGACATGATCGCTGTTCGCGAGACCGCAGCACCAGTCGAGATAGAACTATGCCGACGACACCCGGCTGCGCCGTTATCTGACTTGCAGATTTCCTCGATGCATGACTCGAACAGGCATTTCGAAAGCAAGCATACTACCGCGCAAACCCATACCTACAAAACCAAGAATCCAGGAGCATTTTTCCACTGCGCCTGCGGGCTACTCTGGAATGTCCCAAACTTCTGCCCGCCGATGGAGACACGCCTCGTGCGGGCATACACCGAGCTTAATTCACGTCTTCGAGTGTGCGAGATTCAATTTCTGTTAAAGTCGCTGTAGCCGAAGCCACATATGCACGATGCAGACTGCGTCGGCAAATCCAAGGCAGGCCTCAAAGCCATGTCGTTTTGTGTCAATGTTCCTGGGCGGGGCAGGTCATCTGGAACTGTAGGTTCCACAGGCGCTCATGGACACTTAGAGACCTACGACCTCAAGCCCGGCTCTCCTGCCCTCGAACCCCACGGTCAGCCTGTCTTGTCCGAGAAGATGTATCCGACCTCCCAAGCCAACACGGACCAAAGGGGGCCAGGAGGTGAGACCCCTTGAGGTAAGCTGGGAGTTGTGCAGGGTGCACAATGTTCACAAACACAGACACACACACACACAACAGAGACACAAACACACGCGCGCGCGCACGCACAGAGAGAGACACAGACCAAATTAGCCTGCCTACTTATGTTCCAGCCGGCCTGCCTGCCCCTGCCTATTTATCTATCTCTCTCTCTCTCACACCTGCGTGCGTGAATCCGGGCCTGCCCCAGCTCTTGGCACAGATTCGAACTCCGAGTAACAGCTGCGAAGGGCTTGCCCTCATTGAAGCCCGGTGCTTTGTAGCACCTTCACAGTACTCAAGTTGATCTATGACCTCCTGGAGTCACTAGCCATCTGCAAGGCTGAATCGAGGGTCTCTGTTACAATTTGGATTGCAGGCTTCGGGTTAGAGGGTCATGCTCCCCATGCCCTGGCGAGATATATGGAATTCCACCTGCACACTCTCTACTCTGCGCCTTGTGATTCCATCGCAACGTCAACATGATACACACACACACACACATGCCATGTCCGCGAACACATTCCATAGTTTCTGGCTGGGCAAAGAGCAGCACACGACAGTTGCGATGATCTGCCGGCAAGAGTCATCCGCTTATCCTGCTGGATCGCTCGACACCTGCAAATCCACGAAACTCAGTGCAAAGCTCTTGGGGACTCAGGCCGCTCTGAAACTCGCGCTGCCAACTGACTGGTACAGGTTCATGTGCTGTGTTCTCTTGCATGATGCCTGTACTATGTCTACATATGTGCATATGCCAACTAGATGTGTAGGCGTGTATGTATGTATGCATGCATGCATGCATGCATGTGTGCATGTGCGTGAGAGAGCTTTCATGCAGATATGCAAATGTGAACATCGCATCTAGATTTATACACATGTACATTCTATGTCTCAAACCTGATATATACAGTCGATGTCCGCAAGCATAACGTCTACATGCATGCGCATCATAAATAATATGCTGTTTGGCATAACCACGACTACAAGAACGGCAAAGGGTCAGCAGTTGCTGTTCTAGAAAGTATGTTGCTTCTAGGTCAATGGATCCGTTTCTCAAACATGTGCTTTTCGCAATGGCATCGCTTTTGTAATCTATATGATCGTGATTTTGCTTGCATGTGTATGTGTGCGGGTGTTTTTGTGTGTAAACATAATGCATGGCTGTGTGTTTGATACATGCGGAGTATATGCATACATACATGTGTCCGTGTAAGCACCTGTGCACAGGGAAGCATGCGTGCAATAGCGCCCTATCGATGTCCGTCACCACAGGCTATCTATAGTCTTATCATTAGAAGCATTCGACGTCGGAGCAGTGGCCGTCTTCGTCGCAGTCGCCATTGCGATATCAGCGGGCAGCGGCCGCAGCGGCCGTCGTCGTCGCCGTCGTCGTAGTATTGGGCTTGTTGTTGTTCTGGTATAGGCGTTCTCGTCCGTTGTTTCCTGTTGCTGCTGCTCTTGCTCCTGACCTTCTGAAGGTTGTTGCTATATATATATATATATATATATATATATACTGCGTACCAGTGGTGGTTCCTATGTACTGTTCTGCCGGACCACATCTAATTTCACATCGCGGCGTCGCGCACCTTTTGCAGTCAGTCGTCCAGGAATCGAAAATTCGTGCCCGAGCCCCTGACTGCCGAGTCCCGTCTCGCGCCAGGTGCACTACAGATTCAAGCCGAAGGACTGAAAGACATTGCAGAACTCCACCGTCGGATAGAGGGAGATTGGCATCAAGTTGGAGTACAGCCTCAAATGCGGAGGAGACAGAGAGGGAGAGAGGGAGAGAGAGAGAGAGAGAGAGCGACAATTCAGGGGCCCGTCCCAATGACTCTCGGTGGGCGGGAGGTAAACGGATCCAAAGTTCCAAGGGTCCAAGTGGGTAGAAGCTTGTAGGAAATTTGCGGCTGCCTCAAAATTCCGAAAGTATCGCAGTATCTCCCCAAGGCTGCACGGCTTTCCGCTCACAGGCCCAAGGATCGAACATGGTAAAATCAGGGAGCGCCCCAAGACCCATTGCTCCGGGTCACGTGAAGAAGGTGAGCCACCAGGCCACTACTTCAGGCCTTAGCCATTCTGCCGCTTTGCAGCTCTACGGCGCCCCTTCAGGCAGGCCAGCGTACATGAACAATGCCTAGAGCACTTGCCTTTGTAGGGGCTAGCCAGTTCGCACAAGGCAAGGCATGAAGCTCTTAACATGAATCTGATCCAGCAAGGCTCAGGGTGGTGTGCTCCTCTTCCAGATACCAGTGGTGCTTCGGCTTGTATAGCACATGGCAGATAGAGCTGGTCGCCGCAATGATCGCCTGAATAAGCCTTGGATTTTGATGTTCCAACTCCGTTTGCTCGCCCTCTGCTTGGAGGCATGAGGAACCGGAAAACGCCGATTCATACACTGACACGGTGACTTCAAGCGGACAGTCAGAGAATGATTTTCTTCATTACCCAAGTTCCTTTCCTATCTTCAGGTGACCATATTCGAGAGTTTCTCTATGTTGGGTGAGCACTTGCGCTGATAACATGGCCAAGCTCTCACAAGACATCCAAGACAAGCGGGAGCGAGCGAGACGTGACAACAAAGGGTGTCCACTCTCGCAGCACTGACTGGTTGCAGGAGGTACGTCCGAGACGCAGAATGCACTTCATGGACTGGTTCGTCGTCACCTTATAGAGCAGAGCAAAGACTCTGCATGGTTTTAAGTGCAGCGGGGATGTGTACGAAGGGCAGCATGTTGCTAGGACTCAGGATGGACAGAGTTGGATGGGCTCGGCATCCATCGGGTGTCAACCCAACGGTCCCAAGCCGGGATGGTACTTAAAGCTCGTCAATTACCCGACCTCGCCCATGATCACCGAAAAGACAAAGTCAGTTTGACCGCAAGAGACGACCGCGGGCTGTGCGATTCTTGGTTTGAAAGATTGGCTTTTGTTTCAGGGAACCAGCTCATATCCTTGGGCTTCGGGTTGGAGTAAGCTTCTACTCGAGTCAAGTCTTATCGGACAGCAAGGGATTCTTATCCATTTCAAGAACATATCGAATCATCTATCGTTTCTGGGGAAGCAAAGTTTCGGGTTTGGGTCATTGCCAGCCGCTGCGAAATCCCTGTCCGTGAAACAGTCTTACCAGTAATTTCCAGCAACTCATGGTCATTCTACCACGGAGCTCCTGCTTCTAATTTGTATCGCCACCGTTTCGCCATGCACAAAATGTGATGCACCGTCGACGAGGTCCCAAGCTACAGTCTGCACGTGAAATGCCGCCACTTGAAGCACAAGTGAACATTGAGCAAGACTGTGTGGTGGTCCAATGCTGGCAACAACAACAAAACGGGCAACTGCAGTCTTTATGCGAACATTTTACAACCCTGAATCCTGAAAAGTCCTAGCCTCCAAGCTGTGGACTTTCGACAACTTCCGAAGGCTGACGTGGCCTCCAGGTTCGACTGCTTCATCGGAGGGGGTCGCGAATTGCGGACCATCCTGCTCCGACGCTGAAACTCCGGGACACAGGCAGCTCATGCTGTTTGCTGACAATGCAGGCGTGTGGTTGCAGTCAGGACAGAATTTCTTGGGGCTGGCACATGTGCGAACGGAATCAGCTCAATCGGAAAATTTGGGTCTGCATGCAGAAGGGGTCGTCCTCGTGTCCGCGCCGGTGTAGATGACCACACCTTGGGCGATCAAGACAGCTGCTCGGGGACTAAGATTGCACGAATCGCAAAATCCAGGCGCATCGTTTTTGGCATCATGATTCGCAAACATCGGGAAAGCAGGAACCAAGCCCCTTCTCTCATGTGACTCCGCTCTAGAATCTGAACCTCAAGTAACCCACAAAAAATTCAGGTGCTGAAGAGGAGGGAGGAATGAGTTCACCCTGAGTTTACGGCTGAGGCATGAGTTGACACATCAAGTGATGAACCAATCACACGATAGGACAGGTCACCCATGCAGAAGTTCGTGTTCCTGCACAGGTAAGATGGCAGAGGGAACATGTGGGATGCATGGGTTGTGCAGTCTTTGATGTCTTTTCCGGCTGTCTTCTGCACAGTACTGGCGGATGTATTTCGAAAAGGGAGGAATGTAGAAAGTCTATGGCTGCTGCTGACGTTTTCGCTGCTGATCCTCTCAAGGGGCACTTGGGTGGTGTTCCGTCCGGAGAGCCTCAGCACTGTTCCGCGCATCAGCAGCTGCTGCGGGCCAAGTGAAACCTGCGCCCGAACGACGGGAGAATCAAAGCCAATGGCTCAGCGCCGGAAGGACGGGAGAAACAAGCCCCAAGGGCTCAGGAATTAGCAAGGTGCAAACAATTCCGGTGCTTGCAATGCTACTCTTGCCGGTCAGGTTTGGAGGAATCGGGGACCGTGCAACATGCGATGCGAGATGCTGCTTTCCCCTGCACGGTCATGTTGCCGTTGAAGTCCTGAGGATCTACCGGACTTGAGGTGACAGCTTTGAAGCGTCTCATCATTTACCCGAGTGCGTGGTGAAAAAACCTGGTTCCACCTCTTTTATGGGCCAGATTGCTGGCTTCTGAATAGATCCGCGGTGGCATGTTGCTTCGTGGTAATGCTTGAGCAGGAATTCAACCACGACGCTGGCCTGCTATGCAGAGGCTTGTGGGCTGTTAAACATTGTGGGCACTGGAGGAAGTGGAGTTGGCACTTTCAGGGTCAACAGAAACAGTTGATCCAAGGCTCATGGATGTTTCCGTTCGGAGACTCCGCGCTAATGCTGACGCTGAGGTTCGCCACCTGTCCTTGTCAGAAGAAACACATCATGTGCAAATGCAAACAATATGCGATAAAAAAAACACACAGCTATCCACCTCCGTGAAATGAAACGACTACCAAGGTTTTGTGTAGGGGGCTGGACGTCTAGCTACTTCCAATTCTCAGCTTGCGAACCCTCATCCCTTTTGGGGTTGGGAGCTTGACGCCGACCCTTTTGATTGGGTGTCTATGCGCTTGGACATGGGTAAGAACATATGAAGAGATCGACCTACATATGTACATATGTATGTATACGCATGTATGTACGCATATAATAGAGGCATGAATATGTATATGTCTGTATGTGTATGAGTATGTCTATGTGTACATGTACATGTACATGTATATGTACATGTGTGTATACATATATGTATAGACCTGCTTAAATATGTACATACATATGCCAGCAATGTGTGTATATATATATATATATACATACCCTGGGCTTCCAAAGACCCTAGGATCCAGGGTCTTGGGTCAAGGCCCCGGTGCACCCGTGATTAGCGTGAAAGGCCCTACTTTCCTAAGTCATATCAGCCACATGAATTCGCAATCGAAGTTCACGGCTCTTGGATCAGACCAAACTAGACAGATCGCTGATCAAGGTAGGGTGTTTTCATATCCCAACATCAACGCTAGCCATAGTCTCAACCACGAGGGCTATCGAAGCCTCTTTGCAACATGTCCTGACCAAGCAAAGCGTTCTCGCCATGTTTTCTCCCGATGCGTGGAGCGGCACTGAAGCGATCAAAACGTGCGCCGGGGTTGTGCTATGAGGAAACCTTTAATTCTTGAGTCTTAAGCCCCGATACGCGAAATTCCAGGTATCCCAAAGAAATGCCGATGCTGCGAGTCTACATCAGGCAGGGCTGGCAGGGGTCAGCAGCATCTGGTACTTGTTGCATTGGTTGCATCCGATCAAAAGCTTTTGCGATATCTGCTGCAACAGCAGCTGGGCTCAGCACGATCTTGGGTTCATGAGCATATGCCTTCTTTCGTTGTCGATAAGACATCACTGCTGCTACTTCGGTTGCTGCTACTTTGTCGAGGATTATCATTATGAGGGGTCCCGGGGATGTGTTGCTGCTACCATTTATTTAGCTGCCCGGCTTTTAATGTCTCCGCCCTCGAGCTAGGAGCAGCCATGCCGAACACGCCGCTCGACACGAAGCGCGTGGAGACCTTAAAGGCCAGGAATAAGCAGGTGCTTTAAAGTTGTATTCTTGCTTGGGTAAGCAGGCATTCTATGTGGAACACCTGGACTATCAGAATATGATGACGAAAAAACCTCGAGATGTCTTGCAATTGAATGCCACGCCTAGGTTCGTGATTCAAACAAGCACAGGTTCATGAAGCTTGCAGACGATCATGGGATCAGTGAAAAGAAGGTCGAAAAGAAGCTTCAGCAGAACAAGGCATGCACCTAGGCAAGTTGCAGTGAGAGTTATTCGGGATAAACAGATTCTGGGAGGCTCCCTGCGACTACTCCTTCCTTGATGTGCCCTCGAAGGGCATCACTTCTGATATCGTGGGAGGCTCATATGAAATCAATCGGGATTTCCTTTAAGTTGGAGTTGTCGCATGTTGCAAAATTTGAGGTCGAGGAGTCCCATGGGGCCGATAACTTTGCCTTTAGCCTTTACTTCTTGGCAACCTTCCTGGAATCCTACCCGACATATCGGGAGATGGTTGTGGACCTGCCACGTTTATTTCCTCCTCTCAATCAAAGCCCAACACTGCTCCCCCTCGTAAGGCTGCCCTCCTCTTCGCTGCCTCGCAGAAGCCCATGGTGAAGAACGGCAAGCACAAGTACCAGAGGGAGGCACGCACAAAGCTCGGGTTCGTGGGATCCTGCTTCGAAGTTTGATTTTCTCTGGGAGGCATGGGCAGGAAGAGGCCAAGGCTCAACGTGAGATGCTGAATTACATTCGATTGCGAAGTCGAAAGAATACAAAGACGAGGCCGATTAATTTCCGACTTTTCAATCACGTATGCATAAATGTGTCTCTTCGTCGATGCATGGAAGATATCATATCTGAAATATTTTTTTTCCTGTGAGGGGCAATCTGCCAAATCTGATGATTTTGAAGGGCGTTGTGCTGGAGCACACGGCCAAATTAAAGTCGTCAGCTACCTGCTGTATTTCCCAACAATCTTTCCAAAACCTGATTAATTAGAGGAGAAAAAGAAGACAGAAGAGGGAGAAAACTTCTGCAAGGGAACAGAGGCCACCGAGGAAGAGGAGAAGGAAGATGACCCAGAGCTCTCAGATCAGGCATCAACACGAGCGCTGGGAGACAACTCCCAGAGTGAGAGCTTTGATGATGAGGAGCAGGAGCAGAAGGATGACAACACAAAAAAGGAGGCGATCCAAGAAGGCTCGAAGTCAGAGAAAGAAGAGCAGGGTGCGGGAGGGATAGCCCACAATAGTGGAACCACAAGACGGCGAACCACAGGGCCGGGGTGGGGATTGATAATCAACACAGGGAACCACCGGGCCCCTTCCCTCCTTCCCTTCCCCTCTCTTCGAGCACAAATGAGAATGTTGTGCGCAATGATGTTGATGTGCTAGTCCCAGTGTGGCTATTGGTGGTACCTTTGCTCTTATGTTGCTCTGGGCTTCGGCACCCATGTTTATCGCTTTATCTAGTTGAAAACCGTGCTTGGCTCGTGATGTTCTTGCGAAAACCATAATATCGACCGTTGTCATTCCAGGCCAAGTTTCGGTTGGGTTCGCTACAAGTAAGCTTGAGCACGTTTTTGAATGGTTTTCATTCGGGACTTTTGAGCAAGGGACCTGATGAGAGTGCGGATGGGGATCATGAGCACCATCTTCGTCATTATCATCACCATCATATTCATCACTATCATTGGCTT